TTCATAACAGTAAACATTACATTTAGTGTGCATAAAGAGCTACACTGGCTGCAAGAAAAAAAAAAAAAGATTGTGGCACTAGGGCAGGGGAGTAGTGTGTTTGACCTGGATCTTGGTACGAGAAAAGAATTCTCTTCAACGGGTCACTTCTTCTCATTCTTTCCCTTTCCTTGGAAGCCTGGAAGAGAAGGTTGTGCTTTGGCTTTTTAGCCTGGATGAAGTCACATATGCAATATGTTTGCAATATGGTTTTGGAAACCTGATGTTTTATGACGATGGTGCTATGTAACAGTAAATCTGAATACAGAGCTGAAGGAAGGGCACAGAGGAATTGGGAAACAGTGGACAAATCTCTCATCACTGGGAAGACGTAGTACCTAATCTGGAGTGCTAATACATTTCCAGAGGAGATTGCAGACAGCATATTTTGGAGCCTGATTGTTAGTGCAAACCTCTTTAGGGGACTCACTGTCTTTGGGCAATGCTACATTTCACCTTTTCACTTTTCTTTTATTAACTATGGAAAGGTGATCAATCATTAGAAGAAGAAAGGTTTTCCTGAGGCATTGCATAACTTACCTTCCAGGACGTAGCCTGAAGGAATTCCAGCACAGCAGCTTCTTGTTCTGTAGCTGTCCTTTCCCTCCTTCATACATCCAGGAGAATCAATCCTGCATTAAAAAAACTAAAGAATAAAAGGGGATTCTTATGAACCTGCCTCCAGACAAATTACTGAGATGACAGATGGAGAAGAAAAGGTTTTCTTCTTCCTCTTATAACCTTCACATTGCCTACTGTTTCAGCTCAGTCACCAAAGCTTTTACTTCTCTCTCACTATAATCATACTGAGATAACAATTTAATTCAACTTGTATTGTCATGCAAAACCTTAGAGATGACCTCTGTTAAACAAGAGTGCTTGTCTAACTTCGCAAGCCCTCAAAATCTTTTTGAAGTCACAATAAATGCTTTGTGTGGTAGAGTAAACTGGATGCGATTGGTTCTTTTAACTTAAGAAGTAACAGAAATGCCAACTTGATGGTGAATTTTCCTGTTCTCAACGCATCTTTTTCTTCCCATTTTCTGATAAGCAACTGCATTCATTTAGTGCTCAAAATAAAAGTATCAAACAGCCTTAGTGAAAGCATGTGCCTGTCTCAGTCTGAATCAGGCCCGATTGTGCTTTGTTACCTTAGAACATGCACTGTCTCTTGTTCTTTTGTTAATATCCTCTTTGTGCATAAATTCTCATTACAAAAAAAAAAAAAAAGAAACCCAAGGTAGACAGCACCTAAATACAAGCAGCAGAGAAGCTTCAGAGCTCTCTTAAAGTATAGGTAGGACAACAAAAATGAAGAAATAAAATTAACAATACTCTTTTCTTCATAGGAGGTCACCTTACATAAAACTGTAGATAAAAGTACAGTTCATCAAATCTTCTTGAAATCACTGTACCCCTACAACCTGCTCTAGAATCACATTTGCATCAGTAGAGGTTTCAGCTACAAAGCAAATCTAAATCACTTCATTGTCATTGGAAACAAAACCTACCACAAGACCCTCGCTACACATACAGGTATGAAAATGGAGAGATACAATATTCAAATGGAGAGATACAATATTCAAAGTCATTTCACCATGCAAATTTTCAGTCAGACTTTAAAAACTGACATAGAGATTTCAAGGGAGGTCAAGACCTTGGAATTTCACCCAGCACACTAAAAGCACAAGGTACAATTCCTCAGATTCAATTCTTGTTCAATTAAGTGCAAGAACAAATTCCAGGCTTTCCTTTTTGGCTCTGACTGCCTTTTTCCTCTTCCTTTATTTCCACAGAAAGGCCCACCCTTCATACCAACACCATGCACTGCAAATGCAGATCAAAATGCAAGATGTCGTTTTCTTGCCCTATATCACTGTTGAGCATCTCACAGTACATACTCCTATTCTCAGTACTTTAAAGAGAAGTAACCAGAAATAATGTGGTGAAGCACCACATTGAGTTCAAAGACTGAAAAACGTGGCTTGAGCTACTCTCTACAATGCTATTTTTCACCTGCCAGCACAATTTGGTTGTACACATATAAAGAGGGCTACAAAAACAATCTCCTATGCATGGTGCTATTTTTCATACACTATCTGCTTATTGCACCTTTTCCACTGCTGCAAAGTGAAAGTACATGGCATTTGGCTGAAGTTTCGATCTTAAGGTGCTGTTATAGAGGAGGTCCTCACAAGGAGCTAATGTGAGAGGATTCAGCACAGAAACAATAGGAGTGTCTTACACTCTGTCACTCCTCCTCACCTCCACCAGTGAGTGTAGCCTGGCCAGGCTGTAAAGCAGTTGTGCTTCAGCAGCAAGAGCAAGATGCTGACCTGACAACTAATTTGCAGCAAAGGAAATTCTCACTAGATATGAGAAAAAATTCTTCCCAGGGAGGGTGGTGGAGTGCTGAGGCAGGAGCCCAGAAAAAAATGAGGAAAAAGGTTTCCTAAATGCAGCTGGACAAGGAAAGTCTTGTGCAACCTCATCCAGCCTGGGAACTGTGAACCCCTGGGGTTGGACTAAAGACCTCCAGAGGTCCCACCCAGCTGAATTACCAGATGTTATCAATCAAAGTTTGCATTTAGTCTAATACAGAAAAAACCCACCAACACACTAAATCAGCATGAATGTGTTTTACATGTCTTGGCCTCAGCTTTTTTTTTTTCATTTCCATAGCATCTAAGAACCACAGTCAAAGAGCAGAGCTTTACTACAGTAAGTAGCAGAGGAAGTGCACAATGCACACTATCATGAAAGTGTTTTGATAAATCCACTAGATGCAATTCAAGAAGAAACTGAGCTATCACAGCCAGCCCTGGATAAAGAATGGTTGAAAGACCTGCTTAGAGCAGCCAAAGCTCCTAAGATGGTAGTGCCTTTCTCCCTCAGCCATAGATCTCTTCTGCAAATAACAACACATTCCTTCCTTCACTCCTACCTCCAGTGGGTCAGGTTTCCTGGCTCATCAGGGATCCTGTCCTCCAGATGTTGGCAGAAGAGAGCACAACTCAGAGATCTTCCATTCCTCCTTGCAGCGCTTCAGCAGCTTCGCAGCATCCTCTGCTGCCAAAGAGCAGAATCAGATCAGAAATGAGAAAACAGACAGAGCCTTCGAGCAAACATTATCGCTTTATACAGACAGACACTCACCCTACAATGAAAAGAGGCAGATAATGAAGCCCTGATCCACAAGAGGGATCAATCTCCATGCCTTCCACAGAGCCAACTTTGAAACTGACCTACTCTTGGGTACTACAGGTGCAAATCAGTCCTGAAATGCCAGAAGCTCACTGTGTCCAAGGAATAGTCCCATACCAGAGTACAAACCTTGCAGGCCTGGGCCTTTTTATGCAGTACCTTTCAACATCTGGCTCTACACAGCCCTTTTCTTTATTATTCTGAATTCTTATTTTCACATAATTGCAGAATAGGTCAGGTTGGAAGGAACCACTGTGGGTCATCTGGTCCAACCTCCCTGCTCACACAGGGTCATCCTAGAGCAGCACATTGCAGAGGATTGCTTCCAGATTGTTCTTGAATATCTCCAGTGAGGGAGGCTCCACAGCCCCTCTGGGCAACCTGGTCTAGTGTGCAGGCACCCACACAGTAAAGAAGCTCTTCCTCATATTCAGGTGGAACTTCCTGTGCATCAGTTTCTGCCCATTGCCTCTTGTCCTATTGCTTGGCACCACCGAGAAGAGTCTGGCTCCATGCTTTTGGAACCGTCTCTTTAGATATTTATACACATTAATGAGGTCCCCTCTCAGCTCTCTCTTCTTGATGCTGAACAGACCCAGCCTCCTCAGCCTTTCCTCCTAAGAGAGATGCTCCAGTCCCTTAATCATTTTTGTCACCTGTTGCTTCTCCAGCAGATGTTAGGGTAGTTAAAGTCCCCCACCAGGACCAGGGCCTGTGACTGTGAGGCTGCTTCAAGCTGCCTGTAGAAGGCCTCATAAACTTCCTCCTCCTGACCAGGAGGCTTATAGCAAACACCCACAACAATGTCACCCTTACCAGTCTGCCCCTTTACCCTAACCCATAAGCTCTTGCTCGTTGTCCACCCCAAGACAGAGCTTGATATATTCCAAGTGTCACATAGAGGGCAACTTCACCACTGCACCTGCCTGGTCTGCCTCCCCTAAACAGCGTGTAGTCCTTCATGACAACATCTTAATCATGCAAGCTATCCCACCGCATCTCTGTAATGGCAATGAGATCAAAGCCCTATGACTGCACACATATTTCTAGTTCCTCTAGAGTGTGCCCAGGTGGCCAAGAAGGCAAATGGCATCCTGGCCTGTATCAGAAGTAGCGTGGCCAGCAGGACTAGGGAAGTGATTCTTCTCCTCTACTGGGCATTGGTGAGGCCGCACCTTGAATACTGTGTCCATTTCCAGGCCCCTCAATTCAGGAAAGACATTGAGGTGCTGGAGCATGTCAAAAGAAGGGCAACAAAGCTGGTGAAGGGGCTGGAATACAATTTTTATGAGGAGCAGCTGAGGGAGCTGGGATTGTTAGGCTTGTGGAGGCTCACGGGGGTCCTTATCACTCTCTACAACTGCTTGCAAGGAGGTTGTAGCCAGGTGGAGGTCGGCCTCTTCTCCCAGGCAACGAGTTACAGAACAAGAGGACATAGTCTTAAGCTGTACCAGGGGAGCTTCAGGTTGGACATTAGAAAGAATTTCTTCACAGAAAGGGTGATTGGGCATTGGAATGGCCTGCCCAGGGAGGTGGTGAACTCACCGTCTCTGGAGGTGTTTAAGGTAAGACTGGATGTAGCACTTAGTGCCATGGTCTAGTTGACTGGTGGTGTTGGGTCACAGGTTGCACTCGATGATCTCAGAGGCCTTTTCCCACGTAATCGATTCCCTACACAGACAGTGCGCGCAGCCTCTCCCCATCCCGCTCCGCCCCGGCCCGGCCCCCGGCCCGCCCCGCCGGCCGTGCGGTGCCGGTGCCGGTCATGGCGGCGGCAGCGCGGCTGTTCCGCGGGGTTGTCCGCGGCCCGTCCGCCCTCGCTCTTGCCCGGGCGCTGAGCTCCGCGCCGTCGGGGCCGGCGGGCCGGGGAGGACGGCGGGCCGCGCTGGCGGCCGCGGGGGCGCTGGGTGGGCTCGGGCTGGCGCTGGGGCTGTGGCGGCGGCAGACCGCGCTGGCGGCGTCCCGGGAGGACGAGGAGGACAAGGAGCTGCGGCAGCGGTTCATGGCGCCGCCCGTGAGCGGGCTGCGGGAGCTGCGGCGGCGGCGGCGGGAGCTGCGGAGCCGCATGGAGCTGCTCATCATGGAGACGCAGGCGGAGGTGTGCCGCGCCCTGGCCGCGCTGGACCCCGGCGCCTCCTTCTCCGTCGACACCTGGGAGAGGAAGGAAGGTACGGGGCAAGCCGCGGGGGACGCCGCGGGCACCGGCACCCCGGGCTCGGTCACCCCGTGGTGACCCTGCCCGTGGCCTTGGCAGGCGGAGGCGGCATCAGCTGCGTACTGCAGGACGGCGAGGTCTTCGAGAAGGCGGGTGTGAATGTGTCCGTCGTGTCCGGGCTCCTGTCCGAGGAGGCAGCGCGGCAGATGCGGAGCAGGGGGAAGTCTCTGAAGGCCAAGGACGGTAAGGTGTCCGGCCGGGAGGTGGGGTAGGGAACCGAGACACGTTCACCTGAGTATTCCCGTGCGGGACTCTGAAAGTAGTCTGGCTTTGAGCAGAACCTGAGGAAGGCCAGACTGATCAAAGCTCGAAGGGTTTCATTTGTATCTAAAGAGGCTAATGCGAGATAGACAAGTCCGGTTGCAAAAGGCACAGCAGAAAGACTCTTTAGCCACCAGCGCACTTGTAGCAAATGTGGGTAGAGCCCTTCCCAAATCTTCATTCGCGAAGCCTAGCCATGATGATGTGATGATGATCATTTGTATCAAGGTGATTTCTAACCAGTAAGCCTGATAGGTGGACTTTCATATCCCTAAAAAGCCACGTATCAGAGTGCTTCTCCCTCCGTCTTGCTGCTTTAAGGACTGTATTATAGGCATAGGTGATTTCTCAATAATGACGCTGTAGCTTAACAGTGAAACAGTGGAGGAGTTATGTACCAAAGAGGTGGAGGGAAGGAACCAACACCACCTGAAGGGTAAAGAGGACTCGACCCATGTTTGTGTAGCAAAGGGCAATTGTGAGGACTGGGGGTGGTCGCAAGCCTTAGCAGTGCCTTATGTTTTAAATGGTCTTCATTTAATGGGTTCTCTAACATGTTGCTGCATTTTAGGACTAATACCAAAAAAAGGTGCGCAGAAGACCGTGAATAAGAAGTGAATTTCACATTTACTAATAATCATGTGAAATTTTCCTATCATGAAATCTAAGGAAAAATAGGGATGTTCCTTAAATGATAGTAAATGAAATTTCTTGAAAAACTAAAAGGCTTGGTGCATCTCTTTATCTAGGGAAGCTGCCTTTTTGCGCCATGGGTGTGAGCTCCGTTATCCATCCAAAGAACCCTCATGTTCCAACCATGCACTTCAACTACAGATACTTTGAAATCGAAGAAGCAGATGGTAAGAATTTTAATCCAATGAAGCATGTATGAAATGTATGACTCCACATGAAGGAAGCATGAATGCATGGCTAGGGTAAGAGGTTAAGAACCAGTCCAGGTTTGTTCCCAGTTGTGCCAAGAATCTGTTGTTTAGCACTGGATCTCCTTATCTCCGGCCTTTGTGCATTTGTAAAATGAGCGTAATGAGTGCATGTGGTAGAGTAAAAGGGGTTTGCTTTTTGTAGACTATACTGGGGTTTCAGATCAAAGTTAAAAATGTAGGATGTTGTGAAAAAATGTGAAATACGTTCAGAGCAGCAATCCTAGAATTTAGAAGAAATGTCTGTGAAGGGCTGATAAACATTCTGGTTATGATGTGCCTTTGTCTCAGCAGCTGGAAGGACGTACTGTCAGAAACACTGCTCACTAACTGCATTGTGCCTTATTTCCCCAACTTTCTGCAACTTGGCACTGTCAGAAATGGGACCCCTGTCTAGGTGGTCAAACACTGAGGGGCTATCTGTATCTTGTGACAGTGTATGTACTGTCAGAAGCTCAGAGAGTTTTCTTTCAGTTGTTTTGCCACAGCATTATGGATCATTTCTAGCCAGTTACTTCCCTGGATGTAATAATGATGTTCCCTTTCTTTGGCACACTGTAAAATGTTTCTGCATTCTTGAATAGGAGTTGCCAGCCCATCTTGTGAAACTGATATTCTGTAGTCAGGATCAGTGGTCCAAAATACTGAATGAATGGTTTAAACTGCTTTGAAATTTCTTTCATGTTTTCCTGAAGTCACTGGAAAGGGAAGTTCACTACCTTGAAGTCAAATTTTTCACGACTGAGGTTTAGGGGCACCACTGAATAATGATTTTGTTTTGTATTTTAAAAATAATTGTTAAATGCTTTGTGAACCTTGCTGTTTAGAAGTGTAAAAGTTGGTCCTTTCCTTTCTTATAGGAACTAAGCAGTGGTGGTTTGGTGGTGGGACTGACCTCACTCCAACTTACCTTAATGAAGAGGATGCCGTTCATTTTCACAAGACTCTGAAAGAAGCCTGTGACAAGCACGATCTGAAGCTGTATCCCAAGTACAAGAAATGGTATGTGGGGAGAGATGCACTTGGGGGGGAGCAGAAAGCAGCACTAGATGTTGCTAGTTAAGTGTACTCTAAGAACTGTAGGTTCTGCTGCCTTTTAAAAAGTATCAGCAAACCCTAAGGAAAATTGGCAGAAGTGCACTGGGACACAATGTAGTCTGAAGAAATCTCATATTTACAGAAGCCTGAGTTATTCAAATTAGGGGGCTGATAACTAGGATCATAAGTCTATAGCCCAAATAAAAACCAGGCTGACTCTACAAGAGTTGTTGTAAGCCACAGACTTCACTAGGCAACTTAAAAATTCCTTTTAACCTCTAGTGTTAAACTAGGACAAGAGTTTTTCCCCATGGACTTGCACAAATCCTGCTTACAGTGAGCTCATGGTAAATGTGCATGATTCAGTGTGAGCTCTTGGGCTAGCGCTGCGGTTCTGAAAATCCCACTCATATTTTTCTGTCTTCACTCTGACCATCATGGCCTGTTTTGTTTTTCTGTTTTATTCCGGGTAAGTAAAGGAGATTGTCCTTAATGTAGAAGCTTCATAATTTAGATGAAGTTGTAGTTTTTTCCCTGGTGACGCATTCAGGGTGTGAGTTCAACAGCATATTCCTAAGATGCAAACTTTGAATGTTCCTCTTGAGCTAAGAGATACAAGTGATCTGATCCTTCACTAGTAAGCAGAGGCTTGCTGCTCTGTGTCTGATAATCCTATCTGCCACAGGCTGTGGTATCCAGGAAGGAGGGGATACCCTTTTGTAAGGCACTAGGTCT